TATTTCTATGACCATGTTCAAGTTCGCCAACTGTTGGTCATTACCAGAGGGTGTTAATATAACTCATAGTTTATGGTTTTTCATTACCCATGAAAATAGCATGGTGATTTTCCAGCTCGTTTATTGTATATACCATGGTTTATTGATAATAACTATGACTATTGTTCTAGTTAAATATGGTTTAAATTCAATGACCATGTTCCATAGTTATGGTATATACCATGACTAGTGATATTCCATAGTTTATTTATTGTAACAATGGTCACTAACCATGGCCACTAGATGTCACTAGATGACGGATGACCCTCATGGAACCCTCCTGTTTGGGCCGTTCTCGAGACATCTGTCGCATGCGTATGCCTCGGTCAGTGTTGGGACGGGACTGGGACGCGATCCGAAGGAATGCCATGATAGAAAAGTCAAATCCTGAAATTGTGATCAGTGATAAGTATCAAATATATAACTATCAGTATATATAACTATCAGAGATATCATGATATATCATTGATATATCCCAAACAAAACATTGAACATCAGTATATAACTATCACTTGTCTATCTTTTTGGAGGGTTACTCTATATACTGTAGATCTGTAGAGTACACCGTAACTCAGGCCTCGACGTGTGACTGCTAGGAACAGATCCTCCTGCGCCCGAAACAAACCCAAAGGCATCTAAGGGCATCTAAGGGCCAGGTCCTTGTGTGTCACCCAGACATGAATGGGTCTTATCCAAGAATAGGATATTATATATATATAATATACTATGTATTTAATATATATATATATGGTACCCCCCCTGATACACTATGTATAATATGTATGTATAATATATATATATATATTATACAAACATATCACATATCTATAAAATGGCAACGCCGACAAGACCTGTGATTTTATAGGCTCCTTTGGTTCGCGACTGCTGAGGACGCCAAAGTCCTGGACCGTGAGGATAAATCATCGAGTTGGTTGAAGGGAAAAATTGCAGGAAAAACCATGGTAAAACCAGTTTTTCCTATGACATATGTTTTTTTTCTACAGGAAAGCCCAATATTTGATGGTAAAGCTCATGGTTTGGGATGAACATCATTCTGAACCATCTTTGAGGCACAGAATAGCAGCATCTTGACGTAGCCGTAAACGTTTACATAGATGTGGAAAACTGATTGGCTTTTCCTAGGAAAATCATCTATAGATGGTGGTTTTTCCACATCTATGTCAGTTTACCCTAGGGTATACGTACATATTGATGTGGAAAAAACATGAAAAAACGCATCCCCAAATCATCACCGCTGCATTGTTCCAGCCCCTTTTTTTATCTTTTTCCGAGCTCTTTGAGGCATTGGAATGCCGCCCTGGTCACTGCTGTCAGTGGTAAATCACAGGCATCTGCTGTGGCCAAGGGCCAAAACCTGGGCATTTTGGAAAAATGCTACGCTGGATCCAAGGAAGTTGGCTTGTGCCAAGGGAAAGTTGTTACCATCTGGTTATGACTAATACTTAGTTAATACTTTGCCATGGAAAGATCCACCCATGCTATTAAGAACGGTATGGCCCATCTATTTCTATGGGCCATCTATACCATGGCTATGTTAGTCATAACTAGAGGGTAACCCAATAAAATCCCATTAAATCATCATTTTCAATGGGTAAATCCACTATAAATCCACTATAAATCCACTGAAAAACTCGATTTCAGTTGTTTCCTCGATTCGCCCCTGCTGAACTCCCCATCGCCATCATCCCCCAGCCGACTGGTCTAACTTTTTCACGCCGAAATCAATCGCGCTGCACGCGGTTTAGCCCGTTGGTTCATATTTGGCGGTTCCAAGCACAGCCAACCAGGAGTTTTTTCAATGGCCCCACCAAGATGACCGAAATTTCAACAAAACTGACCACTTTCGACCATGGAATATAACATAACATAATATATATATATATATTGTAGATTTATATATGTCTGCATACATATACATATACATACATATACATATATATATATATACATATAGCATAGCTGTTCTTACTATAATTCTACATGGGATCCAGAAATTGGCGCCACATCCTTTCCAAAAGCACCTCAAATTCTTTGAGGTTCTCCATGCAGGCGACTCATCACGAAGTCATCGGAAGATGTGAAGAGATTTTACGTGGGAGTGAAGAATCGAAACGAATCTTCGAAGCAGCTGGTGAAGTCTTTCCTTCTCTATGTAATTATATATAGATTTTATATGATTTTACATACACATTACATATTACCATTACATCACAGCACATTGCATTGCAGTGTATTGTGTCACATGACATACATCATTATACATCGTACATACACGACATATGCATGTTATGAGTCCTATGCGCGCTGAATCATAGCTATAATATGCTATAATTATGAAACCATGGCCGCCACGTATTTTTCGAGTACGTTCCGAGATCATGCTCCCACGTTCGACTGCTTCGCCGCTACGAATGTCACTTTAAGTTGGCTCTGCAAATCAATGACTCAATTTTTTTTTAAAAAAATTTCCAGAAGTAAACCACTCTGATGTCAAAGGAAAGTGGAGCTAAAAGTTGTAACATATTGTATCTGACCAAAATGACCCAGTTTGACAATTATAACTGGGTGTTACAAGTGAGTAATATTGAGTAATTTTGATTGGAATAAACATTGCAAACTTATTCAAAATTAGTGTATGATAGTCAGAATCCCAGTTCCACTGCCAGTTCCGGTGATCTTTACATTGTTGCAAGGCCAACAGTCGCGGTGATCCGTGCGACGAAGCTCACCACGCGCTCGATGCAAGCTGTTATCCAAAGACCTCTGGATGTAGCATACTTGTAGCACAGTTCCATCGTGCTGTCAGTTCAATGATGTTCAATGCTCAAAACTGCTGAACAATGTTGAACATATCAAATTATCAAACAACATTTCAATATTTGAGTGAAACTAATCATCAAATAGCATTCATGTCCAGAGGCTTTGCTGAAATCTTGCGAGTCCTAGAAGTTTGCTGCACCTGTACCCCTTGCCACACGGCAAGATCAGAGATTGTAAGAACAGAGGTAGTGGTCCCCGGTTTTCATCCACGGGTCTCAAAAACCACTGATCAAGTGAAACAAAAGGGCAGCATTGAAGGCATCGTGTTGCCCAGCAGCACAATGGATGGCACAATGGATGGCCCATTGGCTAAGCCCAAAATGTCAGAAACGGAAGATACCGGCAGTGTTGTTTGGGTGTCTCATTGCATGATACGTTTTGCTGACGACTGGCACCTGGCATCAATGTTCAACATGTTTTCCTGTTCGCGAAACCATATTCAACCTCAGAATCCAAATTGAATGTGAGCAGCAACAGCAGTACACCCGACAAGCCAGCCACCAATATTTACCAGCTGCACAATGGCACCTGAATTTTTGTCTGAATTTTGCGTTCATTTGCCAAGTTCCAAAGTTTTCATTGGAACGGCTGATTTCTGCGAGCCCGACATGGGTTTCGCTAGCTGCTGGCTGCTACTTCTAATCGACGTCATCGATTTCGCTCTCCAAACGCTCCCTGAACCTCAAGACAGCTGGAAGTAGCAGAAGGTGCACGGCATAACCCTGAAATCGACCATGAAACCGCACAGTGCCTTTTCGCTCATGAAAATCATTTTCCGCCACTGTTTTTTTTTGCTGTCTGTCTTAGTTTTCACCGAGGCAAGGGTTGAATTTCAACGTTTGGAGATGCTTCCAGTATATCCAGTCAAGATTTGTCATTTGACAAGATCCACACATGATGATTGTGTATCAGTACACTGAGCATCTGGTTGCCATTTCAGGAACCGATTGATTGTAGGTACCATATATAAGGCCTATGTACTAGGAATATCATGGAATCTCCCAGAAAATATGACCTTTTTTGTGGTACAGCACCTCCACTTGATCCTGAAGTTCCGATCATCGGGTGCTGAGGTTGGAGCTTCTTGGTATTTGCTCCACTCCAACGCTGCTTTAGCTCCTGCCCTTTGTAAATCTCCATGGTGGGAAGTTGATCGACATTTCTACCTCGGCAGGTTGTAGAACGTAGGCTGAAGTGCTTGAAGGGTGATACCTGGAAAATGGTTTTTCAGAATTGATATGAGAGAAAACTCGGTAACGGCTCACAGGATTGAAAGGTGGAAACGCCATGGTTTCCGGCACAATTTCGTGGAATTTCGATGATGTTTGGGTACGACACAAAACCAAACTTTTGGTTCCAGATATCATTGATGTGCAGCAGAGCAGCTATCCATTAGGGAGGTCGTTGTGTGGTCACCAAAGGATTGCCACTTTGATTATCATAAATCCATTCAAATTCCTAACCACTGGTAGTGCTTTCATATCATTTTCTCCCAATACAAAGGGGAAAAACGCACTGGTACATACATAAACCTTATTCAATGCGATTTTTGCGCACGCATTTCCTGGGTCCACGTTCACCTCAAATCCGGGCTTCGTTTTCTTCTAATTGTTTTTTCTGTTTTTGATATCTTAGGTCTTGACCAAATCAGATTTCCCGGCAAAATGACAGTTACAGAGTCACCATTCACATCATTTCGATCATTTCTCAGATTCTCCCAGTTTTCAGTTGTTCCCAATTGGCTATGGGTCGAAACACTGGTACCTAGTGAAGCCCCAAAAACTAGCTGGGATCTATGGCAATCTATGAATGTTCATCCCACTCAAATGGATCATTTTTGACCCATCTCCCATCAAAAAACCATGAAAACCCACTCAAATTGTTCATTTTTCATCATTTTTGACCCATCTCCCATCCCCCATCAAGAGAAGATGGGGATTTTTCGGATCCGCGGCGCTCTGAACCAACTCTTCCGAGCGGTCAAAATCCACGGAGGCGAATTCCACGGCGCGGAAGGTGGGTTCTTTGGCGACCTCCATGGCTAGCTGTTTTTTCTGGCAGGTCACCAAAAAGTTGACTCAACTGGCTGCGGAAGTAACAGAACCAGATAGTTGGAAGTAACCATCCCCAACTTTTTGGCTGGTCAATTCCAGCTGCAACTGGCTGTGGCTATCACCTCATATCTCTCTGAAAAACGCTGGATAAAACAGCCGAGAACTGCGGTCAGCAATGTTCCGGGAAAACATGGTTCACAGTTTCCTTTATCTTTAACGTCAACCATGTACTATATTGTATTTAATCAAGAACAAACACCTACAAACATAGAAAAGTAAAAGAACCTATATATATATAATTAAACCGGCTAAAATGGTGCTAGATTACTCTTCCTATCTTTTTGGGGGTTTACTACAAAGGTAACAACCATGAAATAGCTTTTGATGAGTGGCTAAACTGGTTAAACACCACGGTTTATGAGTTCAAGTCATAAACAGTATTCATGCTCTTTTCCCACTGCTTGACCATTGAAATTCCAAGAATTAACCAATTCATCAACCAGGTTGCCGGGAGTGTTGACTGAGCTGAATGCTCTGAGATCTCCTATGTGACCAGTGGTTGGTGAAGAAGTGGAGTTCTAGTGAACTAGGATGAGAATCCCTATCTGAGGTAGCTTGATAACCCCGAACCAATCATCAATTACCCATCATTTATCAATTGTATCCCCATGTATTTGAATATGTTGGATGATTACACGTTGTTATAACTCCTATAAGTGCTCAACAATCCCATATTTGATAGTCATAGCCAATCAATCACCATCTATCGATAATATTCCAATGTTTGATAGTTAAACATCCTATACAAGAAGCTTTACCCTCTGGTTATTTAACATAGCCATGGTATAGATGGTCCATTTATAGATGGTTTACCGTTCTTAATAGCATGGTGATTTTCCATGGCTGTGTTAGTCATAACCAGATGGTAAATCCCATGAAACAATCAACCGAACCGGGGGGTCAGCAGCAGCGCTCATTATCCACCTTATGCATGTAGCGTAGCAGCTTCTGACAAGCCCGACACCAGGGAGCATAGTAATCGACCACCAATAGCTGCCCGGTTTTGCTAACTCGCTCAAGCACCTCGAGATTGTCCAAGAAATAGAAGGAACATCCAAGTCTTTTTTAATTCAAAGATGCAATATATTCTTGAGGAAAAATAGGGTTTTAAACTGTGCAAATCTGGTTTTAGACCAACATAATGAGATTCTTTCAGAGAAGATGAGGTCATAGACCTTTTTTTTTGACCCATATGGACCCTGCCTTTTGATCTCTTTAAATAACACATCTGCAACAGTTGATGCTCAAAAAATCCCCCAAAAAATCCTGGAAAAATCTGAGTTTTCCGCCTCAGCCAAGTCCTGGGGGCTCCGCAGGGCCACCACGTTGGACGCTGGCAGTGCGGCGTTGACGCGGAGGCGATCTTCATCCGCCGGGGAGATCTCCGTGGTCACCTAAAAATCACCGGTGAACAAAATGGTGAAACTTCGGCATCCAATTTTTTGGGATCACAAAAATAACATGGATGATATATATATAATTATATATGATCTATATATATATGATCTATGAATCATATAATCTACATATCATGAGAATATCTTGAGAATATCTTGAATATGATCGCTTCCTGCTACACATATCTGGGACCATAAATCTGGGGTGTTTTTAAACTATTTGGGGGATGGACTAAGCCATAAATATCCAAAAAATCCAAAAACAACATAGATATTTTCCAGATTACCAGACCTGCCATCTGATGGTTGCGCCGGACATGGCTTGGCGAACATCGATGGACAAGAACTCTCCAGCCATGACACTCTTCGTAATAAAATCATCATACCCAAAACATCCCAATTTTCTCACTTCGGGAAACACATCTGAAAATTTATCATTTTTTAAACACATGGCGAACATCGAACTAGAAAAACTTGGTTCAGCCAGTTGCTCTGTCCAAGGTGTTCATGGCATTCCTCGGAATCGGTGAGTTGGGCGACCTGACGCCACTGGCCGGCAAGGAAAACAGCTGCCCAGGACCAAGGCCAAGGCATCCAAGAGTGAGGGCGACCAGCGCCAAGCGGACGGCCAAGCGGATGCTGGGCGCCATGGCAAGGGGCAGCCGGCCACCCGGGAACCGGTGCGGAACAACAAAGGAGGCGTCGCGATGATGGGATGAGAAGTTGATGAAACTCACAGGACACATGGGTTGAAAGTGATGCGAAACTGAAACTCGCCTCTGAAACAAAACGATGCCTGAGCCATGGACGCCATGGACGGGCGACATTGCTTTGACATGAAGCCAAGTTGCCAAATAAAGAGGAGCCAAACCCATTCCAGGCATTAACTGGCTATGGATGCTATGGGTTTTTCCGTGTTCTACCCACATAAATCTCAGTACCCTCCCAGGCCAGACGCAACTATTTCTAATCCAAGATATATGTTGGAAAATAGGGAACCCCCCCAATTCCCATGGTTATAACTTCAACATCTCATTTCCCCAAGAAATGGTCATTTTTGGAGGCCAACGACCCACCAGTACCTGTTTTTCACCATCCAAGAGACACCAATCTATCGGATTCCCAGGCTTCTTGCGCTTTTCCAATGCCATCCTTCAGTGCCCCTGAGTCTAAAGTCGTTCCTGGCGAGCAAGAAATGTCGCAAGGTCGCAAGGGGATGATTGGGGGTAAACATGGGCCAACTCAGATTTTTTCAAATTGGATATTTCATGATATGTCAATGATATTTGACATATTCCTGTGGCGCAAAAATCTTTTTCTGGGTGAGGATTGCAAAGTCTATGCCTTCCAGTAAACATCCTGAGATTGTCACATTTGTCACCTGGAAGTTGGTTTCATCCTTAATTAATTGTCCGTAATTGACCAGAATCAGATGCTCAAGCACCATCAGTCACATGTTATCATCCCAAAGTTGGGCCAACTTGGTGATGTTTATTTTCCCAATTACACTTTCATCATCCAATCTACTGTGAGATTTCCAGTGATTTTTCAGCAGTTTCCTATGATTTTTCATGACTTGCATAGTTTCCCCAAATCCATAGGTTTTCCAACAGCGCCAGGTGTCTCAGTAGGAACAGCACGTCTGGCTTCATGGCGGGATCTGCCATGAAACCCATCAGCTGCGGTTCTGAAAGCGTTTCAGGTGGCACGCCCGTCTCAGCAACCACCTAACGAAAATTGCTGGCGAATAGGGTGAACTCAGGTTGTGGGATGCTGTGGGAGATCTGAAAAAAAAATGCATCTGTTGGAGTTGACATGGTAATTCAGTTGAAATCATTTGCAAAAAACGTATTCCATCAAAATAAGCTACAAATTATAAACCCATCATTGCCCCATAAAAGTCTTTTCCCCCAAGTAAAACCCAACCCCCAGGACCCCCAAAAAAAAGAATTTGGTTTGGTCATTGATCCGCCTCTCATGGTGTTTCCAGCAAGTTTTAAGATCGCCAAAATCCATGGGTTTTCACCATCTTTACCCCAAGATTTTCATTTATTCGAAGTGTTCAAAACCCTGTGTCGTCTGTTTATACTAGTTGGTTGAATTCAGGAATTCCCTTTCACGGATTGTGATCATGGTCATCTGCAATGAAAATTGGCAGTGGATGTAACTGGATATATACTGGATACAACTGGTAGATATAGTGGATAAACCAATGATAGTTAGAGGATAATTAAAAACACATCTCCAATGAAAGTTGATGGTATAGCATAATCCCCGAACCCTCTGGTAATGACTAACAATTTGCTATGGAAAATGGCCATAGACATAGTTGATTCACCATGAATAGCATGGTGATTTTCCAGTTCGTTATGTGGCTGTTTACCAGAGGGTACCCTCTGGTTATGACTAACAGTTCGCCATGGAAAACCACCATGCTATTAAGAACGGTATGGCCCATCTATTTCTATGGGCCATCTATACCATAATCACCATTTTTAATAGGTAAACCATCCATTTCTATGGGCCATGGCTTAACCATGGCAAACTGTTAGTCATAACCAGAGGGTAGCACATCAAACCAGCGATATCGCAGCACCTCATCCACCGCGGATTGGAAGATCTCCTTCAGTACCGCTGCAGTTAACTCTGGCTCGCTGCTTCCATCCCAGTCGCTGACGTTGGGAAAACCCACGTTTTTGGGCTCAGGATGGCCGGAAGGACCGTTGTACCTGGCTTATCTTGGGGTCTTCGAGAGGCTGGATGGTGCTTCTATGGAAGAACTGGGATGTGTCGCAATCATTGATGGTAAAGCGTTTACCTCTGAAAGTGTATGTCTTTTGCTGAAGTTGCCTTTCTGAAATCTGAGAGGAACCCAGCTCTAAGTCTGGTACAATCCAGCATGAGTTCCAACAGCACCTTGGATTGCTGGGGGTACTGGTGAACCATGGCTTTCCCAATCTTCCGCGGCAGAATCTGTTTTCGGACGAGACTGCCTAGGGAATCCATGCTTGCCAGTTCGCAACCTGCCATAAGCTCACAAAGAGGTCTTGGTATGATTAAGAAACACCAAAGCATATGTCCTATGTCATTGCCATTTCCACTTTGCGTTGCATGCCGTACATTTAGCTCAGCTTCCATGGTACAGACATATCTGTACGCACCACAACATCTCACATAAATATCACAGGACACAACTGACACATACTGACACGATGCATTCAAAGATCTCAGATTGCCAACCCTTCGTTAATATCATGTTCCCATTTTTTCCCATGAAAATCACTAAAATCACTGGGGTAATCAATGGCAATGGAACATCACTCCATTTACATCCCATTAAAACACCAGATTTTCAGATTTTCCAGCCATATTGGACCCTCTGGTAATTTAACATCGGAAAACCTCCATTTTTAATAGGTAAATCAACTATTTCTATGGCCATTTTCCATAGCAAATTGTTAGTCATTACCAGAGGGTTCGGGGATGATACTATACCATCAACTTTCATTGGAGATGTGTTTTTAATTATCCTCTAACTATCATTGGTTTATCCACTATATCTACCAGTTGTATCCAGTATATATCCAGTTACATCCACTGCCAGAGGTCATCAGGGCCCCATCCCCCAGGAACTTCCCAGGTTTCGAGGGAAGGTGCTGCTCCTCCGTAACAACACCAGCTGCTGGTCACAGGTCACCAGCGCAGTTTCGCAGCCAAGGGCGTTGGAGAAATGAGCCGCCTGAGGCGCAGAAAACTCCAGATTTCCTATGGAAAATCATGGGTAAATCATCCAGGATCCTGGAAAATCCAACAAACTCATCAAACCTATTGGGGTGAACTGGTGGTAGCATCCTCTCAGCATCCACCTCTCCTCATCTTCAAAGTGTTCAAGGCCCTGCCGCTGAAAGCGCTGCCGATGCTCCTCTTCCAATCGATTGGTGCCCAGGTACTCCTGGCGCCAAGATGACACTGAGAATTCAGGCAGTATGATGCAACTAGTTAGCAACTATGATTGGGGATTTCTACACAAGGTAACCGGTGCCAGTATCTATAGTAGGACCTATAATTGTGACATATTTATTAGATGTTATTAGATGTTATTAGTAATAGTAAGTATAATGTACTCCCATTCCCCTGACATTAAACACCTCTTAAATGGTCCCAAATATGTATAATCCCCATACGAAAACATGGCTTCCAGTGGCTGTTTAAGATTAGGGAGATGGAATTACCCTCCTGTAATCAACATGGCAATGGAACATGGCCCATTTATATATGATCTTCCCAGCTATAAACCTCCACTTATAGTGGATTTGGCCACCTTTGATGACACCGGAAGGGTTTGTATTCATCAACAAAAGGCAAGCTAAACAGCTCCAAATGTCGCGCCTTATAGGAAGTCAACCCCAACTCCAAACGCAAGAGCTTCGTGTCTTTGTCGAAGCTCACGCGGTGCAAGCGAAACTTGGAGCCGTCGAAGAGTCGAGGATTCCTCAACAAGGCCAATTTGTGTTGAGGGGTTTTCCAGGTTTTCCAGCCAATCTTTGGGTTTTGTTTAAGTCATGGGCCATCCCCAAGTGACCATGGGTTTCAATACTGACATGGTCCGACTGGTGCTCAAAAAAAAGGGACGCTTGGCTTCATTTCATTTCCATGTGCAATCTTACCATCATCATTCATCACTATCAAGCAACAATCCTTTTTTTTCTATTCCCACATATTTGATGGTTACAGCTGTTACCAACCCCAAAGAATGGAAAAAGTGGTTCCATCCCCATGATCACCTGAGTTGTTTTTTTCGTTAAGTCAGGCGGCTTGGCCAGGGCGGCTTCCCAGCTCTCTTCAATCCGGTCCTCTAGGTGTGCCTGGCGTCATGGTGAGTGAGGCGAGTCCATGAAAAATGGGGATTTGATATGATATGAACTGATATACATTGATATGATGTATGATATATGAATTGGTATATCAATTG